CTAATTGAGACAGATCTCATTTGAGTGATTCATGTTGAATGCGCGTTCAAATATTCAAGTTTCAACGCTTGTTTGAATTTACCAAAAGAAATGCAAAAACATTTCCTGATTCAATAATTTTGTGAAATTCTTATGTCACGTTTCGTTGTGTCAACAGCTATTAGGAACTTTTACATAAAGTTAGGAACAAATTTTCATGGAGCTGACGCATATTAAAAGATAAATGGTCATTGCCTATGTTGACTAATCGAATACATGGATTATGCGAGTGTTCGTTTGGTTATTCGAAGCGAGTGATCCGCTGCATTGCGCAATGGCAACATTTATCATCGCGGCCATAATGCAACGTTCATTCGCAATTGGGTTACATCAGTTTTGCCACTTTGTAAGGTTATGCTTTCGCATTATCATTAATCTTTTCGAGCAGAGTAAACTCAGTCATCCAACTTTGCTGCGTTGAAAGCATTCCGCTTTGAGCTAACAAAACTCATGAGTATTGAGTTCATTACTAAAATGAGTAACGATCCTCATTTAGAATTGTTCACGGATCTTATGTCTGTTGCAATCAATTCTTATCTCGCGTCCCCGTTGTCCATTGCAAAGATTTTTTGCATATCCTTGATCAGCTACACGAGCACTACATTATGATGCATATCTCATCCCGAAAGGCCAGGAAAACTTCGTGACCTTTCCTTTTTATTTGACAATATTATGAATCTTTCATTTGTTGCAATTTTCAGTGACTTATACCATGATCCACTATCTTGATTTATGAGTATGTTTAATTGTAACTGTTCAGTGTGCATATTTGCCGAATCAATGTCGCATTTTATTGCATACAAAACAAATTAAAACCACACTACTCGTTGTCCTATAAAAATAGCATGAACTTGGAATTAATAGGCTTTATAACGCTGACAATGAGTAATTCCTGTTGCGAGCACGAGAGACGAATTAATTATAATCAGAGTTTTTTACAGAATTCTTAACGATACGTTGCACATGCAGCTAAATCCCTCGGCTTATTGCTTTTGCAGTCACTCTCTTAATAGATCGAAGAAGTCCGTCGACTTTGGCATCGATACGGTGTATTTTTCATTCGGTTTTTATGGCATCAAGATTCGCTTCTCAATCCATTGGGTAACTGCTCAGTGATCTTCTTATTTAATTGGACTAATGAGCTTCAATACATCTAATATTGGAACCTTCAAAGATATTCGATTTTCAATCGTTTTGCGAACTTCAATAATTGGCATGTGACCAACTGGCCGCAATTGATCATCAATAGTGGCTAGTGGCTCAAGATGTTGTTATCTGGATTTTCATATCCAACAGAGAGTCCGGATATCATCAATAATGTTGTCCGGATTTTGATATCAAGCCGGGGTCCGGGTATCATCAGTAATGCAGTCCAAATGTCGATATCCAACCGGGGATCCGGTTATCGTCAGTACTGATGTCTGGATTTGGATATCTGATCCAGAATCCAGATATCGTTCACTCTTAAGGCTATTCCTTTCCAGGACTGAGCCTGTTTTCTTCTGTTTCTTTCCGTTTTATTGCTGTTTGGAAGTGAACACGTATGGTGTTTTATAGCTTAATCTTTAAAAATTATTGGAGACAATTTTTGATTGCGTTGAATTCATTCGGTAGACATTAATATGACGTTTTTATTATATCAGGGATTGTTCTCTTTTTTAAGATCTTTGAGTTTCTCCTCGATTGTACTCGTGCAAAAGTAAAGTTTTTTTTCTGCATTTTTCGCCGATATAATCATAAGAAGA